GGTGCCTGTACCCCAACAACTACACTCCAGCTACTCGCTGGCAGAGTACTTCAGCCACACGCTGAGCGGGATCACAAACTAATACAAGGGTAGCGATCCCCTGGCAGCAGTCTCTAGCGACTAGCTAGCAGCACTACTTAACAGGCACCTCCCTGTCGTCAGTCTCTCCCCGAAGCCAGTCCCGAAGGTACGCCGATCCTTTTCAAAACTTAAGCACTTGCAGCTACTACACTGCTTCATCGACGGCGGCTTACTTGGTTGTTTCCAGAACCATGTTGGGAGACTCTGGACTGCCCAAGATGAATTGCTGTCTCTACTACCGCTGTCCCCAGACGTCGCCTTTGTGGACACAAAAACGTCATCAATGACCTAGACGGTACTGGCGAAACTAGGAATTACCACTAACCCACTGGGGAGTTGACATATTGCTCTGTAGCACACACTAGGTGGCGCTGGTCTTCATGCGTCACCTCACCAGAGGTCACTCACAACGACCCCTCTGGTTGACCAAGGAAGGATTTGCAAGTTTTAGATAGCCACCACCAAATGGCATTGTCCATATTATGTACGATTCCCGGGCTGTTCGGGTGCGGACTCTTAGATGGCGCTGGAACTGCCATTCAATCCTCTTACCAGGGTAACGAGTCCATAGCACTCGGACTTTACAGGGAAACGGGCCTCACCAGCCTAGCCACCAGATGAGACATAATGTGTGCCAACTATTTGTCACTCTGTACCACTGCTCACCCATACAGATCAAAAATTAACCCAACAGTTAACCCACATAACACCCGCTTCCCAACCAATCACTCGCACCCTTTCCTCACACGGGCTACAAATAACCTCAATATAGACCTCTCTCTACTCCTAAACTCTGAAACCCAACTTACTATTCCCTCCATTCCACCTTGGCTTTATACAGCTCCTAATACATCAATACAATTCTAAGACAACATTCCAAAGTCTACACCAAACTCAGCCATAGCCTCAGTCTTTGTCTCAACAATGAAAAATTGCTACCCAAATACCACAGTGATTTATACAGATGGATCTCGCATCATCATGAACAACGTACCCTCGGTCACTAGTACTGTATGGATACCGGAATACCATCTCAAGCAGGGATGGCGGTTACCAAACCAACTATCTGTTTTCACAGCTGAATTATATGCCTTATATCAAGCTTTCCAAATTATCACAACATTACCAATCGAGATATATACAATCTGCAGTGACTCCAAGAATGCAATTCAAACAATTACGTACTTTTTAACAACGTGCAAGGAGTTTGTTTACCCATGTCTTCAACTTCTTTATGAACATCGATTATACGGTTATGATACCTGTATTCAATGGGTCCCAGCTCATTGTGGTATTCTTCATAATAAACTTTTTTTTTTATTTTTTTTATTTTTACATGCAAAGCATGCAATATAAATACAATAAAAATACAGAATACATAAAGGAAAACAATAGACCACCGGCCAGAAGGGCCGACAGCATAGCACAACAAAACACATACCCAAGAAAAACATGAAAAATACAGCATACACCAAAGCACAAAACAGAATACAATGGCAAACTAGCAATCACAGTAACATCAAAAAACAACACCTCCAGAAAAAACAAAACATACATCAAGAGGCATAGCAGTAAACATAACAGGACAAACACAATACTGTCCAAACAAAACATAAAGAACAAACACGTACAACAGGTAAAGCAATATAAAAACAATACATTAACAAAAAACACACACCGAGCCATCCGCCCCGCAAACAAAAGGCGAGGCCAAAATTAACAATAACAATAAACAAGCAAACCACGCACACCTGAAAACAAAACAGGCACAAACACAACAACATACAAGCACTGGCCTGTAGGACCGAGAATGAAACAACAAAATACATCAAGAAACAGAACAAGACACTTCAGCACAAAACAAATCAATACACATTCATACAAAGACACTAAACACCGGCCTGAAGGGCCGACAACAAAAACAAATGAAAAATACAACAAAACAACGATCAAGAGAACAAACATAAGCCTGAAGGGCGCACAATAGGTACAACACAGTTCAAACAAACCACAGGTCCAAGCACACACCAAACACACAGCAAGCACACAGGCTACGAAAAGATCTCATACTTGTCCGGCCACTCTTCCGCCGGGAATCGAATGCAATACGCCTCCCAAAGTAACATAAGGTCCTCCGAAGCAGGGTCATTATTGAGCGTACGAGGATCAGGCATTTACTCTGGCACACCTACAATAAAACACTGAGCCCGACGAATCCAGATGGTAGAAGGGCACCACGGAACAGGACGCACACGGTCATCAATGTCAAAACGCAACGGATGGTCAGCATCATTCGCCACTCCGGAGGCCAAGATGAGAGGGAGAGGCTCCTTCCCATGAGGCTGGGCAATGGGCAGCGCACTGGGAGCCTCCTCGGCTGCCTCACAGGGCCCCTCGTCAACCACCGAACGTTGTACCTGCTGGGACCCCCGACGCTTGGCATCCTTCTTCAGCACCAGCTTGATGCCTCGGCTCGCACCAGGACCCACACCATCCACGTCTGTAGGAGCAACCACCTCCCACTGCGTAGAACCTTCTGCAGGAGAAAGAACAGGAGGTAAATCAGACGCACAACCATCGTCAACAGCAGACACATGGACATCAGCCACCACCAGCGTCGTATAGCACGAAGCACCCGGAATCGCCACACCATCTCCCGAAGCTCCACCCGCGTCGTAGTCCTCCACATCAGCCCAAGCAGTAGAAGAGCGCCTAGAACGCTTGGGCACTGGCCGCACATCCTCACAGCTGGAGGTGGACCCAGAACCACGGGCCTCACGAACCGGGCGAACCAACGCCCGTCGCAGTACTGCAGCAGCCTCAACCACATGGGGAACCGGGCCGCACACAACAGGATGCTCCGCAGCCTCCCCAACACCCAGCACAGCCGTAACACTTGGCGAAGGTGCAGGACCAGGCGCAGCAGCAGGAGTCGAGGAAGACGCAGACGCACTCGGCTGAGGGACAACAAGCACCGGGGGCATGTCGGGTGACGCAGGGGGGGCCGCATCAGCAGCGACTGGGACTTGCTCCTCTTCATCCCCGGAATCCACGCCCTGAGGGAGCGGCGGGAAATCCTCTTCCCGGAATAAGTTAACGGGTGCAGCAGGGGCCTCAGAGCACCCGGCAGCCTGATGCCCTAACTGGCCACACCGGAAACAAGTACGGGGCTGCCGGGCATAATACACCCGAACGTAGTAACCCAGCAGCCGGACAGAAGATGGGTTATCCGACCGCAGGCGCATACCTAAGGTACGGACATTCGTCTGCTTCCCAGCATACTTCCCCGAGGAAAGCTTGTTCACCCGCACACTGATGACAGCACCATACCTCCCGAAGAAGCGCCGGAGAAGGTCTTCAGGGAACTCCAGGGGCGCACCGTGCACACTGACATATGTCAGGGCACCACTTCGGTTCGAGATCGTAACGGAGCCGGCGCCATCCGGCAACTGCAACGAACGCCCTTCGTTCCGCCGGAGGAAGTCCCGATACTCCCCCTTCCCCACGAACTTAACAATCACCCGGTGGGGCGTAACAAGCTCAACTCCATACACAGCTTCCACCGGGACACGAAGCATGTCGCACATAACTAACTCAATGGCCGGATAACCAGCCTTACACGAGAATTCCAGGCCCAAGGAATTTACCCACAAAACAGGAGGAATTTCCAGGCCCCCATGTCAAAACGGCCACGTCAGCACGCAGCCAGGCAGGCAACAATCACTGGACAGGGAGGGTAAGAGACCCCCCACACCCCCTGCCGGCGAAAACTGCAACCTCCCTAAACTGCCGGAGCGGTCAGACGACACACACCTGTTTTAGTCGCCGCTCCTCTGTCTACAGCACAACGCAACAAGCACTTTTGAAACTTTTATCATCCTCAACATAAACGCCTCTACCAACATCTGTACTGGTGCAGTCATCGAGAGGACAAACCCTTCATGCAAACTGCACCTACTATCAAGAAGAAGAACTTGTAATTCCGTTTTTCTCCTTTGGAATGTGAGAAAATGTTCAGCACTTTAAATAATAATTCTTCAGATTTATAAGCTTTACCGTGTACTCTGTAGTCATCACTCGCATCGTGATTCCCAAGGTTTCTATTTTAAAGGAAAGCTACAATGGGCAAACAATTATGAGGCAAGCAATGGGCTTCATGAAACGTGATTGTTAGTGTATCTATAAACAAGGTTTAACTCTGAGTGAATGAAACGAGACCTCGTAATGAACGCCTTCATTCTTAACATTGTGTAACTTTGTTATTTGGTCCCTGAGAAACAAGTGACATTACATAATTGTTTATGCCTGTAAAGTATAGGAAATGTCTATTACCGACTCAAACTTTTGCTTCTGTGACCAAGTCAGTGATATTTTAAAATGTTCACATTTTCCACAACATTCCAAGTAGATTTATTGCCGATTAAAATTGGAGTAATTTCTAGGATTTTTCCTCGTAAATTTAAGTGCACCTCATAGTGGATTACAACAATATGAAGACGATTATAGGGCCTATTAGTATATATATATATTGTGTTAATATAGGGAAGCCCTACAACACAGCAGCAGGGAGTGATTTACTGGTAGTTCATAACGAGTAGTATTCTAGTGATAATTATCCTTTTCTCCCACATATTCGTTTCATAACACAATTCAGTGGCTCGTCCGGGAAATAAATGTGTATTGTTATTGTAAACGATGTATATTGTGAAAAGTGCATCCCACTAATTCATAGCCTTCCTAGGAACTAAGATTGTGGACGGAGAACATGTCTGGTGGTGGAAAATATTATTAAACTGACCGCTGCGAGGCCACGCACAATACGGATCATCCTCACGAATTTGAAGCAAGTGTCGCCCTTTTTGCAGGGACCGTATTTCTAGAAACTTTTCTAGTGAATTATGAATGTGCATAATGGAGGTTAGGGTATGTGAGTTAGCAGAGTAGTTCACAACTCAGGGAATTTAGCAACTTACTAAGCACAGCCTAGTGATATTGGGAACGAGTTGGGGTTATTCTTTTACCCAAATAGTCTGATATAGCAGTTAATGATATTATGGAACACGCTGTTCGTGAAGAACATGACGAAAGAGCGAGGCTGAGACTCGCCTTAGTTACAGTGCTGAGGGTCGAGGCGCCGTCGGTGAAGAACATGACGGAACAGCGAGGCTGCGACAGCGTTGCCAACACAGCTTCCACACCACCACTCAGTGTTACTGCATCATGACTCTCTGTAAAATATTTATAACTAAGGAATATTCTTTTATATCAACTAAACATTAGTTTTATTATGATTATATTAATCGTATCTTTAATTAAATAAAAATATTTAGAGAAATATTTGATATTAGTTATTTTAGAATAATTACAAATTAATTTACCCTAAAAAAGACCTAAGAGAAAACTGTAAAGACTAAGAATATGAAGATTGGTGAAGACGCCAACAGTTAAATACCGTAGGGAGGCTGGAGATGCGTGGCTGCCAGGAGGGAAGAGACAACCAGTATCAGCACCACAAATATCACTGCAGTCATCATGGTATTGTTGAGAGTATATTGCATCTTACTTACACATTACAATCCTACATCCATATTCTTCTTCACTCACCTTCGTGGGAGAGAAATATTGTGCACGAGTAATGGGTTTTGAATTTCATGTGGCTATTGGAGAAAAAGACACACTTGATTGATAAAGAATGAGTTATGACTTTAAATAAGAAAAGTATGTATAAATGAATAAAATATGGAAAAGACTATAGAATATCTAACATAGTAATAATTTAAAAAAATGTCAGGAATGCAGATTGCCATTATAAATTGAGTTTTGCCAATAAATGGGCCTGTTTTTTATTTTTTCTTGACCTATTTGTTTTCATTTATTATATTTTTGCTGTTACAACGTATGTGTGCATACAATGAAAACCATTTAAATAAAAGAAAACCAATAAAAACTAATCTCTTATATATAGATATGTCATAATAGGAATAATATATTGATGAGAAGTTATTTCTACGATAACATTATAAGTTAAACAAAGTTCTAAAAAAAATCTGATTTGCATTTAATTATATATTCAAAAATAAAATCATAATGAAAGTAATGTTAAAAAAAAATAATGATGCAGTGTGTTTAGAGACGAAAGTTCGACCCCATCTTACAGTTTCAGAATTTCCTTATTAACTTTCCATTAAAGATAAAAATGTATACGAGTTTGAGTTTTATTTTAATACCTAAACAAAATAAATGACAATAAATATATTGTCTTTAGAATTTTAGTGAGAATTTCATCAGAATCTAATGAAATCTAATCGAAGTAGCACCATAAAAACTCACAGCTGAAGTTTTGAGATTAGAAATTTCCAGCCAATAATACAGCTTCATAAATCATGAACAATGCCCAATAATCATATAATTTAATAAATAATTTTTTCTAAGACCCGTATTTGAGTTTGATTTTTGGCGACGTGAAATAAATTTAAAATTTTTACAGTTATACAATTTGGGTTCAATTAAGCTTAACATTTAACTAAATAAAAGATGTCCTTTTGATAGTGATAATATACTATTAATTGTAATAAATAAATTAATAATAGTAATTAATACTAATATATAATCTATATAAATATAAATGGAAATGTTCGTTTGTTCAAAATCGCTAATCTCCGAAAATTCTTCACCAATTGCCTTAAAAATTCCACACAACTTCGCTTCCGAGCGAATTTTTATATATATATACAGTATAAATGTCTCATCTGTGACAGGAAAAAAAAACATGCTTTTTTTAAAGAGCTGTGTTTTTTGTGTGTTTTTCTAGGGAGGGAAATCTTCGAAACCTCTTTACCGATTACTTTGAAATCTTGACACAACATTGCATTCGAATAGGCAAGAGTTTTTATATACATACTATATACATGCCTTACCTGTGACAGGAAAAAACGTTTTATTTTTAAATCAGCAACATCTGTATGACGTATGAGCAACACACACTGTAATCTCAGAAAGTTCTTCACCGATTGCTTTAAAATTTTGACACAACGTTCCTTTCGAAAACGTGCGTGTTTTGATATACCTACTATTTAGATGCCACACCTGAGACAGGTAAAAACATGTATTTTTTGAAAAACAGCTCCATCTGTTGCACGTAAGAGCAACATACGATATACAAGATATGTTACGATTCATTTTCAATGTTTCCGATTGCATTGCTACATTGAGTATTCATAGATTTTGATTTATTTTAATTTTGATTTATTTATTTTGTGTGACATTGCATTGGAATTGAGCTGTGTTGTTTACCATACCGTTCATTTCGTGGGTATAGCTTATTTGTTTCTTGTTTCATTGTTTTTCATTCAGTTTTTAACTATTCTCCTTATTTTTCAGTGCAATTGGTGATGAAATTGAGCTGTGTCGATTGATCGGCGTTTGAATTGAAATATTTCGTTAGTATATTTTGTTTTTGTTTTGAAAACAAGAAAATGGACCTTTGAATCAACACCTTTGAACACCTTTGAACACCTTTGAATCAACAGGCTAAAACGTTATTTGCTTTCTTCACGTTATGTCAATGACGCAATTTGCAAAAACATTGCTGTATTCGGAAGTGCCTACGTACTACACATGGAATACCAATAGAAAATCATTTGAACGATGTAAACGAGGAGAGCGAGTCAACAGACAACCTGGCATGTTCAAACAAACTACGATAGGCAGACTGTATACCATGCATCCCGATCAAGATGAATGCTTCTTTCTTCGCATGCTGTTGGTAAATGTGCCCGGTCGAACGTCTTTCCAGCAACTGAGATTTGTCATCGGCGTAACACATGACGCTATCCGTAGTGCATGACAAGCTCTGATTTTTTTGGAAAACGACAGACACTGCGATGTATGCATTGATGACGCGTCCAACACGACAGATCCAAATCAAATTCGTGCATTGTTTGCAATCATATTGACCACCGGCTCTCCTTCATCTCCAACAGAGTATGGGAAAAACACAAATCGCACATGGCTGTCGATATTGTCCGTCGAATACATAAAGAAAATTCACATATGAACATGAATTTCACAGCAGAAATCTACAACGAAGCGTTGATAATGATTGAAGATTTGTGCTTAGAAATCGCGAACAAAGTTCTCATTCAATTGGGAATGCCATCACCGAATCGATCTGCTGCTGCATCGTTCAATATAGATTTGCGTCGTGAACAAAATTGGAACACGAGTGATTTGTTATCGTATGTGCAATCAAATATTCTTAAGCTAATGCTTGAGCAAAAAGTCATTTACGATCAAATAATTCAAACAGTCAGTAACGGGTTTGGAGAAATCTTCTTAGGTGCGCGAGAGGAACTGTAAAATCTTTCTAATTAGATTGATTTTGGCCGCATTTTGATCCCAAAATGGCATAACCTTAGATCTTGCATCGTCCGGAATAGCTGCGACACTGCTACCAAGTGGAAGAACTGCTACTTTGGCTTTGAAATTGCCATTGAACATGCAATTCACTGGAACTCCCACGTCCAACGTTTCCAAAGCATCCGGCATGGGAAAAGTATTACAGAAATGTAAACTTATTGTTTGGGATGAATGCACAATGGCCCACAAAAAATCGCTCGAGGCTCTTGATCGATCATTACAAGATCCACGTGGAAACATCAGCCCTTTTGGGAACGCATTAATATTCCTTGCAGGAGATTTCATACAAACATTACCTGTAATTCCTCGATCGACACCAGCGGACGAAATAAATGCTTGCCTGAAATACTCTACTTTGTGGTGCCACGTAAAGATGTTAAAATTAACTACATATATGCGCGTCCAACTGCAAAACGACTCATCAGCTGAGACATTCTTACATCAATTTCTGGAAATTTGGAATGGAAACGTGCCGGTTGATCTGACCTCAGGACGAATTTCATTGCCTCATAACTTCTACACTTTAGTGATGTCAAAAGAAGAATTAGTTGAAAGAGTATTTCACAATATTCAAACCAGTTATAAGAATCACGACTGGCTGAGTGAACGACGTCTAAGAATTTAACAATATAATTCAGTCTAACATACAAAGCAAGGCAATCACATACAAGACCGTCGACACCCTGGTGGAAGCAGATGAAGCGGTTAATTATCCAACAGAATTTTTGAATTCACTTCATCTGTCAAAGATACCACCACCGCACGAACTGCAATTATAAATCGGCGTGCCAATTATCATGTTACAAAATATCAAGCAGCGAAAGCTTAGACACGACACGTAGCTAGCAGTAAAAAATTATTCAGCAACGTCGTAGAAGCAACAATCTTGACAGGACCTTTCAAAGGTAAAGATGACCTCATTCCTCACATTCCTATGATTCCAACGGACTTGCCATTTCAATTTAAGAGATTGTAATTCCCAATTCGATTAGCGTTTGGAATCACCATCAACAAAGCTCGTGGTAAATTTTTAGAATTGTGCGGTTTATATCTAGACAAGGATTGCTTCTCATATGGACAATTATATGTTGCGTGTTCTAGAGTCGGCAATCAGACAATCTCTATATCTTCACAGACAGTAGAACAGGAAAAAATATTGTATACCCACAAGCATTGTGATTTTAAACATGTTAGAAACGTGCATTTTCTCTTTTCTTTCCTTTCCTTTCCATTTAACCAGACTGAGCCACAGCAACGCATGGCGGGTACAGCTAGTATTTAATAATAAAGAAAAATAATGATGAAAAGTTAATTTTTTTGGCCAAAAAAAGCAAAGTCAAAATAAAGTTTTTCCTTACATATTTATCACCAAGATTCAGGACATAACTGGGCAAATGAAAACATCTAATAGTATAACGCTCATATAAATTCATTAATGATAGCACTAACAGGATAATAATGCTTTCTGTATGGTTATTTGTCAATTTTAGAGATAACAACAATATGCTTAATGGGTTGGATTCAGTCTCGACTCGTGGAATCCTGGGTTCGAATCTCTGGCAAGGCAGAAAAAAATTGGGAACATTTCCCTTCACCTAATGTACCAGTTCACCTATCAGTAAATAGGTACCCGGGAGTTAGTGAATTTCCGTGCAAATGCATTCCTGGGGAGGGTTTGTACGTACCTTTAGATACTAATTAATTTAGATTTTGTATGTATATAGTCATAATGTATATTTTATTTTGTTTAATCTTTAATGTTCTCTTACAGGATTCATTGAAAATTATGAAATTTTCATAGTAAGCATTAAAATACATAAAAACAAATTATATACATAAATTAGTTTTCAAGTGATAACAGTTCTTATTAGTGAATTTCATATATGATATCAAAGTTAATATGTTTAAAAATAATATTAGGACAAAAACACCATCTTGCAATTAATAAGCGTTTAGCACTGAATGCAGTTCTTGGACGTTCTGCATTGTCAAACGTCAATTAATACAGGCCTGACAGCCGAGTGAACAACACTGAATTCGTAATCCTATGGTTCCGGGTCAATCCCTGGTGGAGGCCGAAACAAATGGGCAGAGTTTTTTTCACCCTAATGCACCTGTTCACCTAGCA